GGGCAGGGTCCTAATGGGCAAGGTCTTAATGAGCAGGGTCTTCATGGGCAAGGCCTTAATGGGCAAGGTCTTACTAGGCAAGGTGTTAATGGGCAAGGTCTTAATGGGCAGGGTTCGAGATTAGGGTTCAGGGTTCTAGGCTTAGAGTTTAGGGTTCAGGGCTTAAAGTCTGGTAGGGGTTCAAGGCTTAGAGTCTAGGGTTCATGGCTTAGAGTCTAGGGTTCAAGGCATATAGTTTAAGGGTCAAGGCTTATAGTTTAGGGGTCAAGGCTTAGAGTTTAGGGTTCAGGGCTTCAGGGCTTGAGGGCTTCAGGGCTTCGGGGCTTAGAGTTTAGTGTTCACGATTTTTAGTTTAAGGTATAGGTTTCTTAACGACGTGGGACCTAATGGGCGGGTGGGTATATGACCTTTGTTTGATAACGCTGCTTAACGAGTGAATGCTTGGACTTGAGATGCTGAACCCTAAGCCCTAAACCCTGAATCCTAAATTTTAAATCCTAAACCCTAAATCCTAAACCCTGAATCCTAAATCCTAAACCCTAAACCCTCAGGGCTCAGGATGCTCAAAAGTTTTGTTTTTTTCATCGGACCGTTTCCTACTGCAGTCAGTGGAATGCTCCGGGGAGCAAGGCTCAGAAGGGTTTATAGTCCCCCCTGAAGTAGATAGAATATGGCTTTGGCTATATTTTCATAAGATCCCCAAATACCCCATGTTCTATCTACTTAGGGGAGGGTTTAGGGTTTGTGGTGAAGAGTCTTCGGGTTTTACAGGTTTGGTGCTTCCATGACGGACGAAATCTCTTCTTCCTTTACCGTTTGCGGTCGTCCTGGATCGAAGCGGGTTTCTCTGCGGTGCTCCTGGTCGGTGACGGGACTGCGAGCCTGCATGTTGGCGATGTAAGCTTTTGCGCCTCTTCAAGCAAGCCAGTAGTGGCAGGAGGTGGTGGACTGGAGAGTCTGCCACGCCCCTTGTGCTGGCGAGTCCGGCAGATGTAGCCTTCTCGAGGTCTCCCATCGCAGCAGCAAAGAACACTCCGGAAGATCAATGTTTTCCCTTTGCAGGGTCTTATAGCCAGTCTGTTTTTTTTAATTATGAACTGTAGTCTAAACTCCTTAGAGAAAGCCTGCTTATATAACGGGATTATATAGGCTACCATTATAGGGCTTATTGCGAGGGATACTAGCAATTTAGACTATAACTCATATGTTTTGGGTGCCTAGGTTGCGTCTTTTTAGTTTTGTGGCTTCAGGGCTTGTAGTTTACACGGGATTTAAATAGCAAGGCAAGGTGCGGGGCGTGGGAAACCTGCCAAAGATGATGACATCTGCTCTGTTCTTCCGAATGTTTACACGGTGTTTAAGGCTTCGTCACGCTTGGGGTTGAAGTTTGGGGGTTTAACTGTTTTGGGATTGAGGTTTAGGTTTTACGCCTAAGGCTTCCGGTTTAGAAGCAGCCAACCATCCGGGAAATGACAGAACCTGCGCAATTCTCAAGCTAGATGTAGGCAACATGTACTTTGCCAGGTGTCGCAAAAGTTTGCCATCTTTCTCGGTAGGTACAGCTAACTTTTAAGTCAAACCACACGGTTTCGAATTTCGAGTTGTGCACAAGCCGAATCTGTGAAAAGACTATCCTGTGCAAGATACATCAGGGAAACGCCGCTTCCGGATGTTCGGGTGACGGTGTTGAACATCACTGTCAATATTAGGGCTACCAAGCGCCCATTAAGAGTGGACAGGGGGGGGTCCCTTTGGTAGTGTAATATATATCCGAAATAGGAACCCATGGGTGGTGAACTTCATTGAGCAAATTTCCTTCGTTCCGACTGGCTCCATTTGCAGGCGCTAGAATACCGCACCCTAAACCCTAAACCCTAAATCCTACTTCATGCGACCCAGGAGCTAGACCCTGAATCCGGAATCCTGGACCTTACGTCCTAGACCCAAAGCCCTAAACGGCTAAACCTTAAATCCTCAACCCTAGCCACATGCCAGTCCCGAAGCCCTAGATCCAGAAACCCAAACTCTGCCCCCTAAACCCTAAACCTAAACCCCAAACCCCGAACCCTAAACCCTACTCCCCAAACCCTGAACCCTACACCCCAAACCCTAAACCGCACACCCTAAACCCTACACCATAAACGGTAGCACTAGACCAGAGACCCCAATTTCCCGGCTCAAAGAATGCCTAACCAGACGGTTAAGGGTTTAGGGGTTTAGGGTTTAGGGGTTTAGGATTAAGGGTTTAGTTTTGAGGGTTTAGGGTTTAGGGTCCTACGTAGCCCACATTATTACCCTAGGAAGATAAAAGGCTCCTTTTGACATAAATAGATAAGAACTCCCACATCCCAACACAAATCAAAGGATCCCCAACATTGATCCAGTCTAGGGTTTAGGTTAGGAGGACCCCCCACCCTGTAATAGTGGTATAATAGGAATATAAGAGGACCCTAATATAATCCCTACTATCCCCTATAGTCACTATTACTGGGTCCACCTAAAGTCTAGGGTTTACGATTGAGTTCCCCTGAAAATGGAGCCCTTAAGGTGCTTTCAGGGCACGGTCAGGCAAACCTATCGCCGGAAAGGCTAAGCCCGCGTTTAGGGTTTAGGCGTTTGACATATAACTTGGCAAGATTATCATAGACTATGACCCTATGTGGGGAGGACTTGACAACTTGGTCAATAACTGGGCTGCAGTTGCAGTTGTAAGTCTCACGCCCCTTTGAAGAAACCCCAAACCCCTAAACCCTAAACCCTATACCCTGAACCCTACACCTCACAATAAGCAGCAAGGCGCTTAGTGATGTTCTCCATCACATCCATCATCTTTCTGGCCTCAGCAATGACTTGGATCTGGGTTGGTTGCGCATTTAGGGTCTAGGGCTTAGGGGTTTGGGGTATATAGGATTATATATGGATACTGGAAATGATGAATGGAAGCTACGATTTAGGGCTTGGGGTTGAGGGTCGAAAGGTTAATATTGTTACTCTTATGGCTATTATTTGTATACTATTACGAGTATTACTATTGTTACTATTATTACTCCTAAACCCTAAACCCTAAACTACTCTTACTACTATGATTACCATTATTACTATTATAGGTGCTTCGAGCTTAGGGATGTATGTTGTAGGCTTCAGGGCTTTGGCCTCAGGGCTTTGCTTGCAGAAGTCGAGTTAAAAACCCTAAAGCGGGTTTAGGGCTCAGGGCTTTGGGCTACCTTAACCCCAAAAGTAGGTAACATAATAACCCAAAACCCCTAAATATAGCCCAAAAGGCCATTATTCTACATACTTTTGAGGTTCAGGTAGGGGCTTTTGGCGTGGAGCACATCTTACTTCAACAGTGGGGTCGCACTGCACACCCAAACATTCGAGCCTTACAGCAGGCTTTGCAACAATCATCATCGAGGACGAAGGTGGAACATACAAGCTATAGTCTGTGCTCCTTAAAGGGGGTTATTTAGGGGATTCTACACTGGAGTAGTACAAGGGGTCATTAAGGGGGATGCCAAGAGTTTAGACTATAGCTCATATAAGGGCTTAAGGCTCAGGACTTGGCGAAAAGCAGCTGCTCAGAACTCTGTGTCGGAGACCCTCTCCGCCAGCTGCTGTGTTGAGTGCGTCAAACAGCAGGGCTATGGCACGATGCGGCAAGACGGTGCCGAGACCAAAGCCTTCAGCCCCATTGGGCAAGGGCACCTTGCCATGCCACACGGTCGAGGGCAAGTATTCCCGCCGAATTCGCCTCTCAGAACCTGATCCTGCGAGGCATGCAGAGAGGAAGGCGCTTCTCACGGGATGGAGGCCTCCCACCCAGCAGCACGACATTGTTGAATTTCCACTACCCCGAAAGGGGCCAACAGCTTAGCCGCACCTGACAGGAGTTGAGGGTGCAGGGTTAAGGGTCTAGGTTGGGTACTGCCCCACTCAGTAACAATTGGATGATAATTATAATAGAGTTATATATAGCCCTTAATAGGACCTGTTATATAGACTGTTACTGGAAGGGAGCAGTACCCAAGGTCTAGGATTTATGGTTTAGGGTTTAGGGTGAGCATTTGTAGATCCAAATTACGTGGGTAGGACTGAACAGAAGTTCTAGTGGTTGTTATCCTTGGCCCTGGGAGCCCAATGATCGTTTTGTAGCCCCCTGTTAGCCTCGGCGTCCCGTGGAACCTGAAACCCTAAAGCCTGAAGCCCCAAAGTAAACTGAACCTTTAGAGCTAGCCTTGTAAGGGGCGGTACGAGAATTTTGTCGCAAAAGGTACCCTGAACCTCAAACCCTAAATCTGAAACCCTAAATCTCCAACCCTAAACCCCTAAACCCTAAACTCCAAGCCCTAATCCTGAATCCTAAATCCTAAACCCTGTTGCTCCAGGTCCGGGCGTTGGCCGTCAGCGCATGGCACCACCGGGCAAGGTTGAAACCAATCAGACTGCCACCTGGGAATAGGGTCTAGGGATTAGGGATTAAGGTTTAGGGATGAGGGTTTAGGGATTAGGGTTTGGGGTTTGCCCGGAATGTAATTTTGGAAGTACTTGCAGCTTTATTGGCTTTACCAAAAGAACATTGAACATGACGTGGAAAGTGGATTTGTATCGGGGTTGTGTAGCGATTTTCCCTCAAGTACTTAAGCAGGATGTAGGATGCAAGTTGGGCCTACTCACGATCCTTTGTGACCTAAACACAGAGAAGGCGCAGTTCAAAACGTATTAAGTGCCTGGGGTCGTGTAGAACTTGAAATACCCACTGTATGACAAGTTGTCTTCGGGCCGAGACGATATGACCATTTGGGTACGTGAGCCCTTAGAGAAAGGTTTCGGTTGGGCGCATTCGGCTTTGGATTTCTTGTCGTTTAGACTTGAGGATTTAGGATTCGGGCTTTTGGGTGTATCGCTTGGGCTTTTGGATTTGGGGTTTAGTTCGGAGCTAACGGTTCAGGGTTCTGGGCTGGATCTCCTCCCCCAGCAAGACCTCCCACAAATACAAGAGACGACCCAAAACAGTTCGGAGTATTGTGCCACTATATAGCCCAAAGAGTTTGATATGTTTTTCTCATTATTTGGATGGGCTTGAGTTGTGCTCTGTCGCACCCTAGAGCCTAAACCAGAAACCACACCCGACCAACATGTTCTGCAACTTTAGCCGGCCAAGAACGAATGAACGACCATACCCCTTACCCCCAAATGGCTGCTGGCCAAAAATCCTAAAGCTTGAACCCTAAACCTCAGGAAAACCCCCCACCCTGTCATACTGACTATAAGACATAATGGCGATTATCTCAGGGTCCTCGTGAATTCCTATCATAAACCCTAAACCCTAAATTACAGGGTGGGGGGATCCTCCTAACCTAAACCCTGAACCCTATGATTACAGACTTGACCAAAACCTGCGACCCGAGCCTGCTACATGTTGCATCCTTCCTAAAAACTTACGGCTGCGCTTCAGATTCTACTCAGGGGGGACCCTAAACCCTAAACCCTAAACCAGTTTAGGGTTTAGGGCCTAGGGCTCAACCCCAAACAATCAGTCATCTGTGGTTAAGTGCTTGCAGACTCAGGAGCTCTAGAAAACGCGCGCTTTGAACTTTGGGAACTCCTCTATATACCTACCTAAACCCCAAAAGTATGTAAAATAATAGCCCTAAATACCAAAATCTAGCCCCAAAAGCCATTATTCTACATACTTTTGGGGTCTGGGTAGAACATTGTTTGGCTTCGCCGGATTCACCGTAATAGTTTCCCCAGTCTACCAAAACAACTTGGATTTTATTCGAGATTTCTAATCTAGTCTGGACCATCAGGGTATGCTGCTGTCTCAAACGCATGCACTTGGGCACTCTCCCCTAAACAAGGTCAGAGAATCTCGACCTGTGCCCTAAGAGCGTAAAGCTCCATACCCTAAAGACTCAGAATCCCGCAAAAGCCGTGGATCCCAAACTTCGCAACCAAACCCTAAACTCTAAACCGAAGGAAACATTAAACTTCTCTGACAGTCCACCCCATGACCCCCCTCCAAATAAGCCTAATACCCTGAAAAACCTGAAGCCGTCCTACAACCCAGAAAGTCCCCAACAGCTTAGGGTCTAGGATGTAGGTTTAGAGATGTTTAGAGTGTACCTGGATCCCAAAATTCGGTTTTTCTAATAACCCCAAACCCCTAAATATGGCCCAAAAGGCCGTTATTCTACATACTTTTGGAGTTCAGGTAGTGTTTGGGGTGTAGGATTTAGGGTTCGGGGTCAGAGCTCCTAAGCCTCGAAGGCCTCTTCGGCCCTAGACTTTAATAGGCCCCGAACCCTGAAACCACAAGCCTGTAACCCTATAGTCCCCCTTAAGTAGATAGAATATGGTTTTGGGTGTGTTATCATAAGATCCCCATATACCCCATAATCTATCTACTCAAGGGGGACTATAAACCCTCAAAACCTTCAACCACGAACCCTTAAACCTTCAAATCTCAAACCCTAAGACCCTAACTCTATAAAAAAAACTGTATACCCCTACATAACCCCCTACACATCCCCCACAGAATCCCCCCCTAGACCCTCAACTTCTCTGCGGAGGAACCCCAGGCAGAGAGCAGAGGGGGTGCGATCTCGATCGGCTGAGCGATTCCGTGGCCGTAGACGACCATCTGGGCATCCTCCAGTTTTAGCGTTTAGGGTTCAGGGTTTAGAGGTTTAGGGTTCAGGGTTTAGGATTTAGGGTTAAGGTTGGGTACTGCCCCCCCTAGTAACAGTCTATATTAAGGGTCCTATTAAGGGCTATATATAACCCTATTATAATTCTTATCCAACTGTTACTGAGGGGAGGCGGTACCCAAAGTTTAGGTGTGGTTTTTGGGCTTAGGGTTTATACAAATTGGATCTCTTGACTAGGGTTAGGGCTCAAGGGTTTAGGGTTAAACCCTAAACCCTAAACGCTTAGGTTTTGGGGTTTAGGGTTCGGGTTCAGGGCTTAGGGTCTTTTTTCGTCGATCCTCCCAGTCACAAAGGATCCCCGTAAACGGTTTACGGTGTAGTGTTCCCTGCACCCTTCCATCTAGGGCTTATATTTTAGAGATTCTTCAGGGTTTAGGGTTTGGGGTTTGGGCTTGAAAAATTCTCTGCAAAGGATTTAGGGTCTACCTGGAGGGTCAAGGGGAGTTAGTAAGTAGGTTGATGAGGGATGATTAAGGTTACTATATGGGTTATTGGGGTTATTAACTTACTTACTAAGTCCTCCTGACCCTTCAAGTAGGGTCTACGGCGTCCGCCGGGCATGCAAGGATTATGTAGGTCCCTTCGAGGGTCCTAATTTGCAGGTCTCTTTCAAGGGCTGAACACAGGGTTTAAGGCTTTGGGTCTAAGGGTTTGGGGGTTTAGGGGTTTAGGGTTTAGGGGGGGGTTTCAGATATGTGGCTCTGTCTGTTCCCTCCAACCACTGAAAGCACAAAGGATCCCGAAGGTGGACCCAGCGCAGGCGGCTCCCTGCCACCTGGGTGATATGGAGGCTTCTTGTGAGACCATTGCTTGCTTCCTGCGAGCTTCAGATGCTGGAAAAGTGTGCAGCTGTGGCCAGTCAATTCCAACCTCGATGGACCAAAGCCTGCAGCTTGTCCTGAAACATGTCCAGGCAGGGAGTGTTCAGAGGCCCTGGTCAGACACGCTTATTCGGCGTAGCGGTTGCATCCATGTAAGATTGGTGCAGCTGTCCTTGGTCGGGAGGCCCGTGCTTCGTCCAAGATGCCTCCCAAGTGCCACCTGGCGTTCTGAGTTACAAAGTACCACCAGGGCCACTCCAGATTGGCTGCGAGGTGCTACTGGTCACCAGCTGCGATCCTGGACCGGGAAACTGTCGCAATCTCTGCAGAACTCGTAGAAGCGGCTACAGGGATTTCTTGAGTCCCACTGGCAGGGCCTCCGCCCCTTCTTTGGCAGCACTTGAAGACCCATCACGTGCTATGTGTTATCCCCTCGTGTTTTCTGAGTCTACTTGTCGCAAACATACATACATACAGACATATATATATATATACATATGTGTGTATATATATATACCCCACGCACTGAATGTATACAGACTCCCACACTAGCGCAGTAGCTCCCATCCGTCTGCTGCAAAACTTCCTGATCTCTGAAACACTTATGTATGATCACTGGGTCTCACGCTGTGTTGTGGCATGACTTCTTGTTACCTCTTGGATGATGAGCAGTTGCATGAGCCTTGGCTACAGTAATGTGTAGACAGGTCGTATGTTGCTATGACTGGTATTATGACGCAAACCCTACGCCCTGAACCTCAAGACCCACACCCTAGACCCTTTCAACCCCCCAGCTCCAACCCCAAATTCCTGAAACTCATCAAAACCCTACATACGAAATGTTGAACCCTTCACAAAAACTAGACCTGTAAACCTCCAAACGCTAAAGCTCCCAATCCTAGACGCTAAAACCCTAAAAATGCTAAAACAAGAACTCCTACACACTAAACCTCTAACTTGAATCCGGAAAGCCCTTAATCCAAGACGAGCGAGAAAACCCTAAACTCCAAACCCAAAGCTCTAAAAACCCTTGAAGCGTTCCTGAAGGCAATCCGGGTAGAAACGCTAGGGTTTAGGGACAGGGTTTGACAATTTCATAGATTGACAGGCAGCTCAATTTCAGGGCCCGTATTGGTGCCCATACTTCCAAACTTAGTAACCCCAAACCAGAAAACCTGGAACCCCAAACTCCAAAATCCCAAGCCCTAAAGTCTATAGTAATGTAGAATCCCGGGAACCTTTTCTAAATGTCTACATAGCTTTTTAAAAACATGTCTAAGGGACGTGTACACTCCCCTGTTACAGGAACCGATAAAAAGACCGCATCACTCCTCTACGGGGACCTATTCAGGGCTTAGGGTTTAGGGCCTTCTGAAGAAGGTACTCTAACCCTTGGTTCCGCGACTACTAGTTTCTAAGCCGCCCTATACTGATTAGACTAACCCTCATGTGGAACCTTCGGGGGAGCGGGGGGGGTTTAGTAGGAGGACCGGTCGTGTCGGTGGACTTTCTAGCACCTTGGGTCGCTAGGTTCTCCAGCTGTAGGTACAAGTCACATTAACTCAAAACACTACAAACTCCAAACAGAAGAAACTAAACCCCCAAAAAAGTTATCTTCTGTAAACCCTAATTCCTAAAACCTTACTTACAAGCCCGAAGCCCTTAAATCCCAAATTCTACGAATCCTGAACCCAAAGCCCTTAACCCCTACACCCCCAACCTAGACTCCAAGACCCCTAAAACCTTCCACCGTTTCTTTTAAACACACCCTAAACCCTAAACTCTGAACCCCAAAAACTTAATCATAGGTCGCAGCGTCTGCCTTGTCACCTGGCTGAAGGCAGTGGACCAACTGCTCCGCGGAGTCGCGGGTTGCCTAAATCAGAGCTGATTCATGGCCCTGTGGATCCATGTATACAAATAATCCCTACATTGGGCCCTAAAGTCTGTAAATATTACCTACATTGGGCTATTTGTATCCCTAGGGTGGTTTAGGGCCTGTTTAGAGTTTAGGGTTTGGGCCTCACAAATAGGGTTCATCGCTCAGCATTGAGGGTTTAGGGTTTACGACTTAGGGTCAAGTTATTCTACACTAAACCATCCCTAAACCCTAAACCCTGAACCCAATGTCCAGTAGCCCGCTAACTGGGCTCTAGCTCCCCCCAGGCCCTGAATCCAAGAACCTAAAGGGTCTAGGACTTGGGAACTGTAAAACCAACACTTTAAAACCCTAAAGGCCTAAACCTTAAAACCCTGAACCCTAGCCCTGCAACCTCAACCCGAAAGTGTGTGCTTAGAAAAGGAAGCTGTCTACTCCGTTCAGTCTCTGAAGCCTCTCTGACCCCTACTAGCAGTTAACACCAACTTTAAATCATTTTCCAGGGTTTAGGTTTAGGGGTCTGCAGTTGGAACCCCAAAATATGTGTAAGAATCGCCTTTTTGGCTACATAGCTTTCAGGGCTTGGGGCCATGTTTAACCAACTTTTCAAGTCCAGGTAGGTGTAACTGAAATATAGTCCCACCCCTGGAACACATACGCTATTGATGGCTGTTACTCTAGCTTCTTAGCTCTTACCAGAGGTATACTATCTGCAAAGACACTACCCTCTGATTACCTTCTGGAGTTAGACCAGATTACCTTTAAACTTCAAGATAAACAGCATGTAGTCCCCAAAGCCGGACCCCCAACCCTAAAGCTTATAGTCCCCTTCAGCAAATAGACTATGGCTTTGGGCATACCATATACCCCATATTCTATGTACTTAAAGGGAACTATAACCCCTAAACCCTAAGCAATAAACAAAACCCCTAAACCCCATACCCAATAAAAGGACGTTCGTCATCCCAACGCCTTACAACGAGAATCAAATAAGAAAACAAACTTACAGGAATTGGAAGGTGGGTTTGTATAGTTTAGGGGTTTAGGGCTTGATGTAGTTTAGGCTTTAGGGTTGATGCAGTTTAGGTTTAGCACACAAGACGCAGAAACCTAAACACCTTCCTCGTTCACTTCGGAACTTGTACCTTATGAGGAAGCACTTTAGGGTTTACGGTTTAGGGTTTAGGGTTCCTTATGAGGAAGCACTTTAGGGTTTAGGGTTTACGGTTCAGGGAGTAGGGTTACTCCTCATTGGATGTAGACAATCTACCCGGAAGCCCAACCCACAACCAACGCGACAAGCCAAAAGCTAAGACCCCTTCCTCCATAGCCCTTCACCCGACTAGACCGCCACGACCCCGAAACCCCCCGAACAACCCTAAACTCTAAACCCCAGTCCCTAAATCCTAAACCCTCCCTGTGGTTCCAATAACCTACAGTTTAGTAGTAAGTACCCCTTGATTAGTAGGTATATTCCATAAAACTGTAGGTTATTGGGGTTACAGGTCCACCTTAAATTCCCAGCTGAGCAATGCGCGATTCCATCCAAAGCAAGCTTAGGCAGCATTCGCTGGTTGCCTAAGGACGCTTTGGGGATTAGGGTTTAGAGTTTAGGTTTGGGAAGAAAAGAGAAGCCTAAACAAGTGCGTGTAAGGGTCTGTAGGGATGAGGCTTGAAAAAAGAAAAGGGAAGCTAGTTTCTGGCGTTTGTGATTTAAGGGTTTGGGGGTTTGAGGGTTAGGGATTAAGGCTTAGGGTTAGGGGGCTAGGGCTCAGCTCAGGGTCTACTTGCTGGTTTTTCGCTTGAAATGGACAGCCAAATGGAACATCGAAACTGGGACTTTACAGGAATTTACAGAGTTCTTGATGGTTTAGGGTTTGCTTGCTGGGTGTTCATGGGAAAGGAAGGGATGGAATGGACAACAACATGTTCGCCGCCCGTGGGTGTACAGGGTTCAGGGAATGGAAAAGGCACTGGGAGCGATTATATATTGTTGGAGCTACTATACGTTCTTCAACACCCCGCTAAGCACAGCCTGCGCCCCTTGCCCGTGCAAATCCTCTTTTTAATTCAGCACTGAACATTGAAATTAGTTTTGGGTTTGTAACTTAGAGGCGACCGAAGAAAAAAAAAAAAGGCTTGATTCGGCTGTTGTAGCATGAAGGCACTGCGATATGGGCGCCCTTCTCTGGAAAGATAGAACCACTCTCCGCCTAAACACATGTTATAATACAGTTGGGAAAAAATCCTGAATTCATATACTCATCCCCTTCTAATGTTACAAAATCCCGGGGCGGGGGGGGGTATTGACTAGAAAGGGGGTTGGGAAGAAGGTTGCGTTGGGGGAGTGGATTTTAGAAGAGGCACTTCACTCAGCGATGGGGGGAAAGAACAACTACCTGAAAGACAAGACCAAACCTAGTCGCAGCAACAAAGGAAGCCGCCACAGTCATAGCACCCAGAGGGTTCTGGCCGGCAGGGTCTAGGGTCTAGGTTTGAGGGTGTAGCGCAGTCCTGCCGATTATAGGATTCTGGCAACATCAACCTTCGTAAGAAGAATCCTAGAGTCACATGATCTCAATGGATCTTCAACTTGGATGTTGGGGTAAACCATCTCACTACATACTAAGAAAATGAAAAGAAATGCACTAGCGCAGCCTTGGCTTTTGCCTTTGAGCTTAATGCTGGGGCCCCTAAGTCCCTGCCGAACGCAAAAGCCTGAAGCCTAAATCCAAAATCAAGAGCTGCAAATACTTGCTCTTGAACATGAACTACCTACGTAAAGCGGATGCTACTCACAAAGATGTAAAGAACGTGGGTGGGAGAGTTCCAAGTTTCGTGCACGCTCCTTCAGGTTCACACCTACAACGAAATTCTAAACCCTAAACCCTAAACCCTGGCCTCGCCATAGCCCAAAACCATAAGCCCCAAGCCCTAAGCACCAAACACTAAACCCCTAATTCCTAAACCCTAAATAGTAGTTTCCATGTACTTTTCCATTATCCCAACATAACCCCAATATGACCCCAACAGGGTTATAATGTTATCGCAATATAGCCCTAAACCCTAAACCTTAAACCCTAAACCCTAAGGATTTCAGCCGCAGCCTCCGTGGCCCCAAGAAAGCCAGATCGGGGCTCGGGTTAGGGTTTAGAGCTCAGGGTTTAGGGTTCAGGGTCTAGGATTTAGGGTTTAGAGTTGAGCCTTACGTTGCAAATGCGACACCATCACAGCCATATGCCCCCAAAATTGAGCAGAGGCACGATCGCGCCAACGAAGGAGGGCAACTGCATCTGGGAAAACCTTGTAAAGTTTCAGCATGGTTGAGGCTCAGGGTCCCTAAACCCTAAACCCCTAAACCCTACACCTAACCCTAGTGCATAATTCCTAAACCCTAAACCCTAGTTACTAAACCCTGATCCTTAACCGTAAACCCCCTAAACGTGTAGCTTAAAGCCTTGATCTAAGACGCTGAGAACCAAAACCCAAAGCCCTGTGATCTTTGATGGGTATGGTTGGGACAGCAAACAAAATTAGGTTGTGAAGCACGACTGTTTACATTTTGAATCTTGAGAAGCCCCCAATAAAACCCGTATATTACCCCTATATAACCCCGTATGATATATAGTAGTTTCCATTTTCTTTTCCATTATCCCCGTATAGCCCTAATATAACCAAAGACAGGACCATTTATACCAAAGGCCCCAAAGTGCCTCGAGTCGAGGCTGAACAGTTCAAATTGGGGGAGCACTCAAACATCTGACTCTAATTCATGTCAATTCAAAACGTGTTACGAATCCAGACTCGCTAAAAGGCTTCAATGTGCCCATTCTGTAATACTTTCAAGGCCTGAAACAAAGCCGATTGGGAACAATGTTGTATATACATTTTAAGGAGACGTAGCGTGAGAGGTCATTATGGTTTGCCCATTCTGGACACGCCTCCTCTGCGCCCATGGTAAGCAACCACTCGCTGATACGCTCGTACCTCACACAAGGCTCGGTGAGGCTTCATGATGACGACACACGACTCCAGGGTTTATAGGGATAAATGAATTTAGAAGAAAATAGTAATTCCTACATGATAATAGGACATTTACTGGGAAATTTAAGGATAATGGGTTTTAGAGTTTCAGGCTTAGGGTCTTGGGGTAGTTTCATAATTTAGGGTCAGAGCGCTTAGGCTCGCCAATCCTGAAAGTGCGAGGAAGAGGGCGCCGACAGGAAGGGCATTTCTGCCACTGAGCTCCTTCGTTCCTCCCAGCAAACACCTTCAGAGGGCTCATTGGATGCAGGAACGCGGGTATGTGCACGCAAAGGCCAATGGCCTGTTCGGCGCAATCGCGGCAGATGGTGTCCGCGCGGCGGCCGGTTTTCGCAGCACCGCGCGTACACCTCCGTGGTGCCGGGCTGCATGGAGTCGCCTCAAGCGCTCTATCCAGGTTACCAGGTAATCCAAGGCTTGAAGTTTCGCTGGCCTAACACAATCAGAGTCTTGTGGCTTGTATTATGGTATATGTAGGCATCACTAGTTACTATGGTCCATAATCTTAAAAAATCTCAAGAGTGGCCCGATTTAGGTTAGGGCGACCCAATCAGAAGTCCCCGAAGTATAGCTGCTTGACTATAGTGCTGGCAGGGATACACATTGCTCTCGTGAGTCATCACCCTACCTCGACTCTTATACCCTACCCCTTTTAGGATACCTAGCTTTAACCTAATGCCTTCTATATACAAAATGAAGTACCGCGAAAAGGGGTAGGTTATCGGGGTACGATGTAGAAGGATGGTTTGAGAGAGGGTTCTTGGACACCCAAAATATGCAGAATAATGGTTTGTTTGAGTGTCCCTTAAATCCTAAACCCTGAAATCCTGAAACCCTAAACCTTTGCACCCTAACCCCTAAACTGGGCTTCGGCTTTATCAGGCTTCTTCAATATGAGCTATAGTCTAAACTCCGAGTATCCCCGTTAGTAAGCCCTATAGTAGTCCCTCGTAGAATTCCCTATATAAGCCCATTAAGGAGTTTAGACTATAGCTTATATGCTTTCTAGGGAGTGAAGCGCTTTGGACGGGCGTGTTACTTGTAACATACTTCTACGTGGCAGTTAGGACCCCTACTAAGGGTTAACCCTTAGGTACCTACAACAGGAGTATAAAGGAATCCCAAAGGGTTAAGGGTCTAAGGTCCAAGCTAAGTCCCAAGGAGACTTGTTATTGTAACGATAACCCAATTGTAGCCTACTCACGGGGACTGAAGGGACTAATAATTGGATTACAGGGAAAGTTACAAGTCGGTTGTAAGTAGCCCACCCCTCTAAGTTCCCTAAAGCCATGCCACATCTTTGGGATTATCCTATTTTTAGCCTTGTTATCGCTCAACAACCAAGATTGGGGCAAGTCGTAAGTGCAGGAACTCCATGGCCATTTTTGCGCTCTGTACCCCTATTTGGCGATCCTCGAGCACGGGCTTCACGCAATTCACAAGCGCAGTGCCGAGCCGGTCCAGCACTTCATTCATAAAAGCTTCGTGACATAGCCACGGAGACACCTTGCTGAGCATTGAGTGCAGACTTCCCCCGTTATTGAAGATAGTTTCCTGCTCTAGCTCAGCTGCAAATGCCCGAGCTCCAAGAAAAGCTTCATGCACAGGCGCTGTAAGTTTCCACGGCTGGACAAAAGTTTTGGCTTGGCCCAGGTGCCGACAGAAGGATCGCAACAGACGGCCGAAGTAGCTTATCCGTTTAGCTTCGGTGCCTGGGACTGCTGGAACCTCAGTCGGCCGTCTTCCTGTGCTGAATAAGAGCCTGTTAGTCAATCCCTTCTTCCACTTTGCTTCACCCTGCGCCCACCATGACTGCAGCATGGAAACTTTTTTGAAAGAACACAAATGCAAAGTTTGTGCTGTCGTGATGGACACCTTTCTCTGACGCCTGCTCCAGTTGTCGCGCGTTTTTCGCTCGATTCAGCACGGACCCTTGTGTGTCCCAATGAATTGTGACTTCCGGTTGCACCCTCTAGGCACCGTTCGAAGTCCACATATCATATTTGTTGAACTCACCGGACACTGGAAACTTCGGGCACAGTGTGCCTGCAGCTTCTGGGGATGCAAGCAAAGCATATCCGTTAGCGATTAACACGGGCTGCAAATGCAGCATGTGTGCTATCGTGGACGACGTGAAAATTATCTTCTGGCGCTCCTTGAAACAGGTCCCTATCTGCAGGGTCTGCCATTGCCTCCAGCAAGCACGACATCATCAACTGCAGAGCAGGATTCTTGCCTGCGCCAGGATCTGAGCTGCTTAGAACGACCTTGAAGGAATCCCACAGCATGCTGAATGGCAAAGAGACGACTCGAGCCAATGTTTCGAAAACCAGCGCCAGTTGCAAAGGCACTGTCCGCCAGACAGGCTGAAAAACATCCACTTCGGCACGCGCATTCAAGGATGCTTTCTTCACCTGAAACAAGCTCTCCCATAGGCACTCAAGACTGGTCTCCAGGCTTAGGGAATCCCAGAACTTGAGCACCGTTGGAAATGATTTGAGCACGGATTCCACACTGTTCGCAGACACGAGCTCCGTGTAGAACTTTGCGGCCAGCGCATCAAAAATTGCGCGAGCATCGACAGATGGATTGAGCACTGCCTCCGACGCAAAGCTGATCTTCAAGGAGCCACCGGGAAGACCTGGGGTCGTTTGGTCGGTTTCTGCACCGCAACTGGACTCCTCATCGTCCGCGCAAGCTTCAGCTTCAACCTTGCAAAACACCGCCAACACTCTGTTTGACGGGACGTCTAAGTGTAGCCACATCTGCATGCTGGCGTGACTGTCGTCCATACGAAACCATCCACCTTTGTGACACAGCCAAGCCACAAAATGACCATTGGCATCACGAGCAAATTCACCCCCAGTGTGCTCCACCAAGCCAACCAGACTGTACGAACAGCCTCTGACCCTCAACTCTGGCGGGCGGTGCACTTGGCTGCAATTCCTCTGCGCGCGATCATTTTCGATGGGAACACCTCCCAGAATTGCTAGGCACAAAACATCCCCTGCATCCTCTAGAACTGTTTGCGTTGCGCACGTCCTGAACTGCTGGCGCACTTCACATGTGAAGTCTGTCACAGGCCGCGGCATTTGGTATGCCTCCAACAAGTCTGCCAAGTCCGCCTTTGAACTTGGGTCATTTGGAATGTACAAGGTAGCGTGTAGCTGCTCATCTGTTGCGATCACTTCTCCCAGAAACTCTGGGCAAGAGGCAGCGCCGCATGCACTGACACGGCGACATCTGAGCCTTGACATCAGCCTGGCTGAGGAATCTCGACTCTTCGCCTGGCAAGTGGACAACTCTACTATGCAGCATACTACAATAACGAACTGATCCTTTACATATTTTACATCTCTTACACAACAAAACATGAGGTGACGAAAGAAAGGCGCAAATGTGCAAAGTGAACGAACCCCAAAAAAGGAGAAAACGTGGCGACCCGCCACATCCTTGTGACTGTTGACACGTTTGGACACGCCAAAAAAATATAGGATGGCGCCTGATCTCTATGACTGATGTTAGCACCTTTGTAGCCGTAGCCTTTTTCAGAACCTGCTGCATTGCGCAGCCTACTGGAGCTCCAGGGAAGAGTTTGCCAAAAGCGATGACAGTTATGAGCATGACCCCTCTTGACCCCTAAGGAGCCAGTCCGCGATGCTCGCCCTTACCGCCCGGCAACCTCACAGAGGTCTAAAGCAGGCCACCTTTAACACCAAGTTTAACAGAATCCAAACGATTACCCGATTGCCTTCCTTATAGGTTGCTAGCTTATTTTTAGGAATACCTCTTCCGTTTTGATCAGCCTCGAAGTAGTTCGCTTGTAAAAGCAAGCGACCCTATAGTTTATTGACCGAACTAGACAAGCAAGCACTTAGCGTTAGCTTGACGTAGGTTTCATAAGCAACTGCGTCAGTTTGACGAACATTTCGCAATTCGATGTACGCATGTCTTGGAGTCTTGGGTAAGTTGAGCATAAGTTGGGCGCTTTATTCGATAAATACAGTACGAAAATAGCATACACTTCAGGCAATAAAAGCGTTCCAGGACAAGCCAATGCTGTGATTTGCAGCATCCTTACTTTTGTGACCCTGAACAGCTTCTTCCGACCCCGAAAGCCACTCCGTGGTCGACCCCGTGGAAATTGGCGGTCTAGGTGTTATGCAGTTCCTCTAAACCCTCAACTGAGTGAGCCCGGGGCCGTCAAGCAAGGCGAACGCACCGAAGCCAGCAGGCGAGGGAGCTCCAGAACCAAAGCCCTCCGGCAGACCACAGAGCTCCCAGTCCAACAGGCAGCTGTGGGCTGCGCAGTAGACCCCGGATTGCCAGCTGCTGGAGGGCTGTCCTAGGTAATTGTCCTTTCTAAGAAACACCAGGATAAGGATTGCCAGCGTGGAGAGCCTTCCCGGGTGGGTTGTCCTCCAATGGAAGATTATTTATCGTAGTGGTTTATACTTGTTTTTGGTTAGTACTGTTGTTATTTCTGTTTCTAGCTTCTTGGCTTCTTGGCTTTCTGGCTCTGGTGCCTTCGTCCTGAGGTCCTCTGGTGTGGTGGTTCTTTGGTCCTGTGGTCCTCTAGTCCTGTGGTCATTTCCCGGTCTTTTTCAAATGCTATTTTTTGCAGTTTATCCTGCTTCATCGTAGAAAAGCAGCGCGCGCGGAGAGAAAGCGAAGGGCGGAGGGCAGGAGAGAGGGTGAGTGGGCGGGCAGGAAAAGGCCACAGCCTGCACAGGACGGCCGGGCCGGTAGGATGGGTGGCCGGGGGGGGGCTCTCGCTGGGTGGGTTTGGGCAAGTGGAATGTAAGACGGGACAAAGTTAAAAATCAGATTTTCAAGGTTAGAAGCAAGACTCCTGGCAACAAGGCAAGAGTCCCAAGGTCAGAAATAAGAGATTGACGAGGTTGGAAAAAAGAATGCCCAGGTTAGGATTAAGACTTTCCAGT